CTTTAAAACTCATTCAAGTAGGGTGTCTACACTATCCAATACAATAGAATATGATACTTGCATTCAAGACTTGGATAGTTGTAGACGGGCACTTACGGAGGAATTACGCAGGTATTTTACATTGTATTTGTTCATAAACCACATGTATATAGTCTATTCTTTTACATTGTAATGAATAATATATGAATCCATGAAAGTAAAAACAGCTTAAGATACATTTATTTCATTAATATAAAAACGTCCGCATAATTATCAGATTTTATGTAAACAAAAGAATTTAATGTTCCAGCTACTAGAACGCGATACTGACACTAAATTTCTGTCGGGAAAAATCCTTCTTGTCAAATAAATTTGAAAACTGAAAAAAATTGCATTTATTTAATAAGCCTACTAGACAGAATTAATTTAAAGCTCGGCCATTTCCAAGCTAGAGCTAGGCTACCTTACTCAACATGGCGTCGGCGTCAACGTTGAAGAGTACAAATTCTGATATTGACCTGTTATTTTTTTTATAAAAAGTTACTTCTAAGCCAATCAGGGTAAGGCATTTCAAAGCTATTCATAGATTATATAATAATATTTTCTAATAATAATTGGAGGTCACTATCGCCAGCTCATAATTCTGTCACAGATTTTGAATGAGTACTGTAATGCCTTTTTTGTAAACCTAGAAAATTCTTGATCAAGAAGTTATTCACTTAAAACTTAATACATGTCTTCGTAACCATTATAGTTGGAGGCCAACAACTCAAATATGGCGCGACGCTAATCGTTCAAAAACCCATTGATGGTATTCACTTGAAATTTAAATCATGTTTCACAATTACAATTGAGGGTCACTTTCCAAGACCCATTATTCTGACATGGATTTTGAATGTAATATGCCCTTTCGGGACAAAAAATATTTTGTCAATGCCAAAGACTTATAGGTATGTCATTTGTTGTCAACAAAATATTCCTCTTTGTTAATTATTACATTTTTTCCCATCAAGTCCAGAGAATAATCGAGCCCTCTGTTCTACTGACAGCTTTTGTGGTGCAATACAACAATTGTTGATAGAAAACTTAACAGGATATTTAAACATATCAATCTTATTTTAAAACAACAGAAAACACAAACTTTATACGCCCTGGAAATATTAACTTATAACAGTCGCTTTACACTTATTTTCAATCACATGACCCATTGTATTCTTATCTATTTCTTTTAGAGCAAAAACCATAGCTTTTAGTACTTTAGACACCGGTACATACATATATTAGTTAAACATATATTTGAATGATGCATCACAGTCACTTTTTGCAATTTCTATTTCTGTACTTTTTAAAAAGATTAAGGGTGATTTTGATGAAACAATGTTTGTTTTTACAGTTTTTACAGAGTACATTCAATTCGAAACGCTTAATATTTTATTGATATACATATTAGATAAATATAGTTTAATATATGTATTTCCCCAGAATTACAATTAATTTTCAATGTCTGTTATCTCATAAATGAGATATTCACTGTGATTGTCGAATATGTTTAATTTAATATGAAAAAAGCAACTAAACATTGATTAAATTAACGTTCATATTCATAAATGTGTTATAAAGGACAATGGAACAATCACGAAAATAACATTCCAGGTAACGAACATGAGTTTGTTACAAAGTCTCTTACAGGAACAATTAAGAAACTACCTACAAATTTTCAATTATATGATCTGATTTTGATACAATGAGTATGATAGATCTTAAAATATGTTTATATAAACTGAAACTTAATCTTCATTTGATTTATCAAATCAAAACTGTCTGTTACTTAAATGTTCTTTTCCAATTTTCAAATACCAATAATAATGTTTAACTCAAAAAATATTATGACTTAAGGTTGTCTAAACATTGTGTTATAAGCATAATATATTTTATGGTAACGATCATTTTGTGTTTGCTGGAAGCTTTTAAGGCAGCTTGGTAAAAGGGTTAACAGTTAATATTTCTTAATTTACGGAAACATATATTGATAAAGTTCATCAAGTATAATTTAAGTATATTGATAAAGTTCATGTGTGGCGGCATGGCCGAGTGGTTAACGTGTCGGACTAGTAATCTAATGATTGCTAGCCGCATGGGTTCAAACCCCGTCTGGGGCCAGTCGTTGTTTCCTTGAGCAAGAAACTTTACACTCATTGCTCAGTACTGGTTTGTTCCAGGAACGGATTCGAAAGTGTGTCTATAAGCTTATAGCTTCCTACACAATCGAACTAAAATAAATTCTGTATAAACCAAAGTTCATCAAAAAATGATTTATATTCATGTAATAACTTTGTATGCATACCCTAACTGAAGAATGATTTATTTAACTTCAATTTCACCGAATTTTGACAAAAATTTAGTAAACCGGCAGAATGACGTGTTAAGCAAATGTAAGTTCACAATAACTCTCATTCTCATTGTTGTTCAGTGCAATTAATATATTCTTATTTCTGTCTGTAGTTTATGTGTATTTAATTCATATCGAGTTAACCACTCGGCCATGCCGCCACACATGAACTTTATCAATATACTTAAATTATACTTGATGAACTTTATCAATATATGTTTCCGTAAATTAAGAAATATTAACTGTTAACCCTTTTACCAAGCTGCCTTAAAAGCTTCCAGCAAACACAAAATGATCGTTACCATAAAATATATTATGCTTATAACACAATGTTTAGACAACCTTAAGTCATAATATTTTTTGAGTTAAACATTATTATTGGTATTTGAAAATTGGAAAAGAACATTTAAGTAACAGACAGTTTTGATTTGATAAATCAAATGAAGATTAAGTTTCAGTTTATATAAACATATTTTAAGATCTATCATACTCATTGTATCAAAATCAGATCATATAATTGAAAATTTGTAGGTAGTTTCTTAATTGTTCCTGTAAGAGACTTTGTAACAAACTCATGTTCGTTACCTGGAATGTTATTTTCGTGATTGTTCCATTGTCCTTTATAACACATTTATGAATATGAACGTTAATTTAATCAATGTTTAGTTGCTTTTTTTCAGATTAAATTAAACATATTCGACAATCACAGTGAATATCTCATTTATGAGATAACAGACATTGTAAAATAATTGAAAATCTGGCGACATACATATATTAAACTATATTTATTTCTAATATGTATACCAATAAAATATTAAGCGTTTCGAATTGACTGTATACTGTAAAAACTGTAAAACAAACATTGTTTTATCGAAATCACCCTTAATCCTTTTTTTTAAAATTACAGAAATAGAAGGTGCAAAAAGTGACTGTGATGCATAATTCAAATATATGTTTAACTAATACATGTATGTACCGGTGTCTAAAGGACTGTACTTAAAGCTATGATTTCATGCTCTAATAGAAAAAGATAACATTATAATGGTCATGTGATTGAAAATAAGTGTAAAGCGAATGAAGGTGAATGTATCGTATGTGTTTATTAGTTAATATTTCCAGGGCGTATTAAGTTTGTATTTTCTGTTGTTTAAAATTAGATTGATAGGTTTAAATATCCTGTTAAGTTTTCTATCAGCAATTGTTGTATGGCATCACAAGAGCTGTCAGTAGAACAGAGGGCTCGACTATTCTCTGGACTTGTTGGTAAAAATGTAATAATTAACAAAGAGGAATATTTTGTTAACAACAAATGGCATACCTATAAGTCTTTGGCATTGACAAAAACTTTTTTTGTCTTAAAAGGGCATATTACATTCAAAATCCATGTCAGAAATAAGGGGTCTTGGAAAGTGACCCTAAATTGTAATTGTAAAATATGAATATAGGTTTCATGTAAATACTATCAATAGGTTTTTTGAACGATTAGCTTCGCGCCATATTTGAGTTGTTGGCCTCCAATAATGGTTACGAAGACATGTATTAAGTTGTAAGTGAATACCTTCAGTACTTTCGAAGACTGATGTTGCATGCAAAACCAAGAATTTTCTTACAAAAAAGGGCATTACTCATTCAAAATCTGTAACAGAAATATGAGCTTGCGATAGTGACCTTCAATTCTGATTAGTAAATAATCTATAAATAATAATAATCTAAATATGTGAATGATGAGATATATAATATGATTATATCATCTATAAATAGCATTGAAATGCCTTTTCGCTGATTGACTTAGAAGTAACCTTTTGTAAAAAAAATAACAGGTGAATATCATCAGAGTTTGTACACTTTAACGTTGACGCCGACGCCAGGTTGAGTTAGATAGCCTTTAGCTTTGAAAAGGTCGAGCTTTAAAATATGTCTGTCTAGTAGGCTTATTAAATAAATGCATTTTTTTTCAGTTTTTGCAAATCTTTGACAAGAAGGATTTTTCCCGACAGAAATCCAGTGTCAGTATTGCGTTCTAGTGGCTGGAACATCATATTGTTTACATAAAAATAATTATGCGGACGTTTCTAAATTAATGAAATTAATGTATCTTAAGTTGTATTTACTTTTATGGATTCATATATATGTGGTTTATGAACAAATACAATGTAAAATGCCCGCGTAATTCCTCCGTAAGTTAGATATAAATGTATAGGAGTTTATATTTCTTAAAGATATCTTGTATTTTGTTCTTTGAAAAGGAAATAGAATAATTTACTATATATATAGCGTTGTTTAATGTGTGTTGTAAATGCACACAGCCTGAAATCCGATTATTTTGTATGATAAAACGTAAAACCAAACTTAAGCATATATATGTATAATACAAAGTGTACATGGTATAATACATTTATCACATCACGGATTCATGAAATATCTTATCCCATTTTATAAACGGTATCCCCAGATAAATATAGATAGTTACATTGTATTTAGTGGTGTACACCCTTCAAACATATCTTCAAATAATTTACGTATAACCTTACATGTTTACAGTATATGTATGAAAGTTTGGCAACATTCGATAGTAATTAATCGTCATCCTAACAAAGAGAGATAAATATTTCTGCACCTTAGCATAACCAGGAAGTAGTACTTGGGAGGTCAAATTATAGTTACATTGAAAGGATCAAAGTTTAACCTCTCCCACAAAATGGCGACAGGTAAGGACATTAAGTCGTCTGTTGTTGTTAGTTCAGAGGAGATTTTTGATACAAATTGCTCACCGTGTTCGGAATCTGGAAAACTACTGGAAGCAGTTAAGTTTTGTGTGGATTGTGGGTCGTATTTCTGTTCTAAATGTCTCGAGTATCACAACAAATTTCCAGCACTAAGATCACACCAGATATTAGACAAATCAGATAAAATTAGATCAGATGGAAATATTGAAACAGGACCCGGACTACCAACAGAAAGGTGCGCAATTCATCATGGCAAGTTAGTGGACATGTTTTGTAAAGACCATGATGAAGTTTGTTGTGCAGCATGTATAGCTATAAAACACAGGTAAATAAACTTGTTAATTACTGCATTTAAAATCAATAAGTTAAATGATACAATTGATATAATGTATTAAAATCCAATATTTCAACGTGATACAGTTTTTAACTTTATTCTTGCATGTATAAATCATTGACTAATCTTTAATTTAAATAACCTATTATAGACTACAGTTAATGCATAATTATACTCATTACAATTCTAAAGTTAAACGTGAAACGTGGTATGGTGCACTTTTTTGTTTCTTTTGGCTAGTCACCATTCACAATGTCATTTAGTAAGTGAGGCAAACAATAATTTTCCTCGCTTGAAATAATATGCTAACTTTATGTCGGTACTTATAAACCTGATACAATTAATACTTAATCTGTAAACAGTAGATTGTGTTATCAAAATATATCAATATTTCAGGTAATGTATAAATGTTGATTATCTACCCGACGTTGCCCAGGGTATAAAGAACAGTGCTGAGTATGGAAAAACTAAATCATCACTCGAGAATGTTCTCATTGAATTAAGAGGTGTGATACAAGCTAAAGCAGATAATCTCAAAATACTTCAAAAAGAAAAGGAGCAGTTATTTGAAGAGATAGAAAAGTTGAAAACGGAAATTTTGATGAAGGTTGAAGAGCTGGTAGAAACTTCGAAACAACAAGTATCATTGAAATATGGAGAAATAAATAAACATATCCAGTCAGATCTAGACGCTTTAAATACTATTTTAACAACGACAACCACAGATCTCCGGAAACTGTCAGAAAAAAATGAATCCCAATTGTTTGTAAATCTCAAAGCAAGTAAAGTTTCTATCAAGGATGTCGAAACTTTTTTGGGTGAATTATCAACAGGTAAAGTAAACGAGATTTTGGGATTGATGGCGAGTAACAATCTGAAAGATCAACTAAATGACATTGAGAGTTTGGTTGTTGACATTGATGTGAAGGAATATAAAGCAACACTTTCTGAAACATACAAGATCGATCCGAATGGTTGTCAAATAACTGGTATATGTGCCATGGATGATGGTTCATTTGTCATTGCCGATTTCACACATTTAAAACTGAAGCGACTGAATGAAAATATGACGGTAACAGATTTTGTTGAAGTAGGTGGAAATCCATACTCAGTATGCAGAGTAGGGCAAAACGAGGTTGCAACGTACATATGTGGTAAACGTCAGATACAGCTTTTTTCGCTCGGAAAAACTATGCAGTTGACATCGACAATAAATATCAGCAAGTGTAATGATCCTGTTGGTGTTTGTTATGATACAACGCTTGACGCTATCATGTTATGTGACGGTGATAAAAAATATCAGTATATAAACAAGTCCGGTAACTTAATAAAAATATATGAGAAGAATAAAAATGGTGACCAGCTATTTACAAAAGCAAGACAAGTAGCAATGAACATGAATAATCAGCTCATGGTTGTTTCAAATGACACCGGAAATAATGTGAACGCATTGACAAAAGATGGTGAAGTAGTTTGGACATTTAGTGATCCAGGATTGAAGAGACCATGGGGAGTCTGTATCCTGCCAGGAGACATAATCTTAGTCGGTGGACTTAGCTCAAACACTGTACTGCAGGTTAACAAGAAAGGTGAAAAGATCAGTGAACTGTTGGGAGCTTCTGAACAACTAAACAAACCGCTTGCATTGGCTTTTGACAAGAGGAGTTCGCGGCTGTTAGTTGGAAGCAGTTCAAACGATTTACGCGTCTACACGTTGTCTAAGACATGAACTATACTTGGGGGATAATCAGAAATACCATTGGCTTGGCATGATACTATCAAACTTTGTTATCATAATAGTTCTGTGATGAAAGAATGTTCATTGTTTTGGTAAAAATCATTTCAAATAACAGGCATGCCTTGCTATCTCGTGTGCACGCTATTGTTAACATTGGTAATTGATAATTTTCAATTCATATTTCTGTTTGATTAATACATGTGAAGTGTGATCATTTAACTTAAAGCATTGCATACTTTATCAGCAACTTAGTTATTTAGTCTTCATCTCGTCGATGTTTCTAATTATTTGTAACCTTTTTAATTAATTATGTAGGGTTCACATTTAAAGCTGATCCCCAAAAAATGAAACCAAAATTTTTTTTAAAAAAATTTAAAATTCAAAAAAAGTATGAATTTTAAATAAAGGGAAAAGATTTCCCGATAAAGGGAAAAACAAACCAGTTTTTTTCGCAGTTACAATAAAAATTTAAAAAAAGAAAAAAGGGTTTTTTATTCTGCAGTACATTAAATTAAAAATATCAAAAAAATTGGGGTTTAATATCAATATTACCCTATCATATAAAAAAATTTGCAAATGAAAACCCCCCAATTTTGTCTATTTCGACACCAAAGTGCCCGCTTGCTTAAAAAAAGGTCCTTTTTTAGTTTCAGACCAGTAAGAAAATATTATAAATATCTGATTCTACCAGTACTAAAATAGTTATTGGCATATTATCTTTAATAAAAAATTTATCTAACTTTGACATATGTCTGAATGTTGTTTGATTTTTTTATTTTTTTTTAAATTTTTTTTTTTTTTTGGAAACAATTGTTGCATATGCCAGAAAACAAAATCTTATAAAATAATTTAGTTATTGCCTCATACTCGATATGAATTGAATACACATGAGCTACGGAAAGAAATAAGAATATATGTATTGCACTGAACAACAATCAGAATGAGAGTTATTGTGAAGTAATATTTGCTTAACACATGTCATTTTACTAGTTTACAAGATTTCTGTCAAAATTCGGTGATAATGAAGTTACATTAATTAATTTCGGAACATACATTTCATAACTCATTGTTCAGTTTGGGTATGAATACAAAGTTATTACATGAAAATAAATCTTTGTTGATGTTATTTATTAATATGTGTTTCTGAAAATTAAAAAATGTTAACTGCTAACCCTTTGTCGTGAAAGCTTCCTGCAAACACATGTTCCGTTACCATAAAATAGAATGCCTGTTACCAATTATATATCAATTATGTAAATTGAATTTAAATTATCATCTTTAATATTTCTTGAATGGACTGTGTCATGAATACATAATTATTGATGTTTGAAAATTGGAAAAGAACTTTTTAGTAACAGACAATTTTTATTTGATACATTAAATGCAGATTAAGTTTCAGTTTATGTGACCATATCTTAATGTCTGTAATACAGTTTTAAACAAATTATACAGTTTTAAACATCACGGATTCATAGAAAGATCTTACCCCGTTATGTTTTGTATTTTATAAACGGTATCCCAGGATAAATATAGATAGTTACATTGTATTTAGTGGTGTACACCCTTCAACAAGTACATATTGACTTTTTCAATGATTTCGATTGACAAAAACGGAATATTTATAACCTTAATTATATGTTTACAATACATTTGTATATGTATGGGAGTTTGACAACTTTCGATAGAATTTAGTTACTCGTCATCATAAAAAGGAAAGAATAATTCTGTGTCTGTGTTATTCATTTTATCATAATGTAACCAGGAAGTAGTACTTGGGAGGTCAAATTATAGTTACATTGAAAGGATCAAAGTTTAACCTCTCCCACAAAATGGCGACAGGTAAGGACATTAAGTCGTCTGTTGTTGTTAGTTCAGAGGAGATTTTTGATACAAATTGCTCACCGTGTTCGGAATCTGGAAAACTTATAGAAGCAGTTAAGTTTTGTGTAGATTGTGGGTCGTATTTCTGTTCTAAATGTCTTCAAGATCACAATAAATTTCCAGCACTAAGATCACACCAGATATTAGACAAATCAGATAAAATCAAATCAGATGGAAATATTGAAACAGGACCCGGACTACCAACAGAAAGGTGCGCAGTTCATCATGGCAAGTTAGTGGACATGTTTTGTAAAGACCATGACGAAGTTTGTTGTGCAGCATGTATAGCTATAAAACACAGGTAAATAAATTGTTCACACAACATTAAAATCAATAAGTTAAGTTATACAATTGATGTAATGAATTAATATCCAATATTACAACGTGATACAGTTTTTGGGGAGGCTATGCCGACCCAATGTTAATAACCGTCCGTCAAATCTTACTGCCGCGGTAATCAGGTCAAAAAATAGTACCTTGATTTTTTCTAAGCTGTCTCATCACTCATCACAGACATTTACAATATGAACTTTTATTTCATATCTGCGATTTGTAAAGATAATAATTCTCTGAAAAATTCTTGATTTTTGTTTGTTATTTTTTCAAAATCACTACTCCGTTGACGTTCATACTGCCGCGGTAATCAGGTTTAGGCATACGTACGTTGGTAATAAATAGTTCTGGTATGAAAACCCTTCTATATAATAACTTTATCATATTTTTTTTAAAACAAAAAGCATAAATGAAAATTTATAGGTAAATGCTTTAACTAGGTGGCAAAAATTCTTTATTATTTTTGATAACAATTTTCCAATTACTACGCAGCGACCAACTGTTTTATGACGGGTCATTAACTAGAACGTTGCAACACGTAGTCTCAATATCATGCATGTTCTTTTGTTGTTATAAAAACCATTAATAGTCCTTAATATTTTTTTAAAAGACAAAAAATGGTAAACTGTCGCTTACATCAGAGACATGGATCATGCTTGCCTGATAACTAAGGAAAACTAACTTTTTAGTACACCCTAGGAGGTTGTACGCGGAAAACGCTCATAAACCGCTATAATCATATAGCTGTTAGTAAATATTTTGCATACATTTAACTAAAAAATTCACTAATGGTGATGAACGTATAGTTTGAAAACATTATATTCTTAAACCATGGTATCGCCGAAAAAAAAAACTATTTAACTACAAAATCCGTAAGGACCCCTCCGACAAAATTTCACCACAAGATTACATTTAATATTAGCAAAAAAAAAACAAGCAATACTTATATTTTCATCTTACATAATTCATTAATCAAACTTTTAACATAAAAATATCTTTTAAAAATAATGTCTGGCAATTGACAGACTCTGATCTTTTATTTTGTAAAGGAATAAATTTAAACATGTGCTCTTTTGTTTAGGAATATTTTGTAGTGAAAGTCTTAATATATCCACTTATCTCATAATTAGAATTAGACAGGTCAGGGATTTTATACAACCAGCAGTTTAGTTTTCTACGCTCATTTTAATCCCAATAGAAAACATTCAAATATTTGGGGTAAAAAACATGGCCAAAGTACCTAGTAGTCGTTTACCCGGTGGTGATCCCATTAAACTGATCATAGATTCGAATAGAAAACACAAATAGAAACATGTGTTTCGGTACAACAACAAAATCGGAAGTAAAGTGAACAGTTAAATGACAGAAATATGTGGTCAAATATGTTTTAACAAGGAAATAATTATTTCAGAGAAAGACGCAAAGATCAGTCTTCAATCAAATGAATGACCCCGTATTGTGTAATTAGAAAGTTTATTCAATTCTAGGGCAACGAATCATAATTTGATAGTTCGTGGTGTGATAAAATTTTTCAACACAGATTATGAGATACATGAAAATGTTAAAGAATAAGAAACTTTAAAAAAACAAAACATAAAAAACGCATATATATACGAATGACTTACAGTCGAGCATGGGAAATTCTTCAACATACCTTACGAAATTTTAATTTGAAAATGATATTTGCGCGCGCTGAAGTGATTAATGTTTATTTGAATAAATCAAATAAAAGAACTTATATGTTTGTGTTCTAAAAAGAATTAGCGGCATAAGACGAATTTCGTTTTCATTTTTACAACACTTGAAAAATTACTACAGAAAATATGTTGTTGTTTTATTGTTTTGTTTTCAACAAGAGTGTGTGTTTTAAGTTCATTCATTCTCGGCACCGGAATAACCATATGTCCGAGATTAAAGCATCGGGGACGTCTTTTTCAAGCAGAATCTTCCTTGTAGCCCATTCTTCGTTCGTTAGTGGTAAAGGAGACGACAGTATGTCAAGGCATCAACTTCCTGACTGACGACAACAAAAACGGCATTCATTAGCGTCAAACCTCCAGAGTAAGTTACGACAGGTCAACCAATCACCTCTGGTACTTGAGATGACTTGACCTTGACCTGCCGTGTGCCTTCTCCGCGACGTGCATACCTCTGGAGGGATTGGAGAAGTTTCAACAAAAACCTCCAAAACACGCTATTTATAACACCATTCATAGCACTGACGCTTCGATGTTCTCATCTATTTGCGTGAAATGGTCGACAAGGAAAACCCAACGTAATAACCGCACACTCTGTTAACAACAGATTTTCCGCAGTATATATTTCAAGCTAGTGAGGTTTCAAATCCATAAGTTGGTTGAGTGTTGGCGGGCGTTAAAAAAAAGAAGATAAAAAAAAAGAAGATATAACTTCCTGATCAATTTTCACTTAGGTTGATTCAATTGAATAAGCTTTGCAGATATGTATTTTTTCAAGAAATATTTAGCTTTAATATTATCCGAAGCCGTCAAAGTCAGTGACGAGTAATGAAATGGGAATAATTTTCTGAAACGTGATTTTATTCGAGATATGCTTCGGGAGAAGACAACTTTCTTTTCCGTAGAGCATGAATATTAATACTCATAACAGAGACAGTGTCTTATTGATCTCAATTATGGTACATGTAAATATGTATAATTTTTATGTTCAATTAAAATGTTGCTTAACTTGCAGTTGTTATTATCATTCAATGATATTAAAATGACATAAAGTATTTATGAATGAACAGTCCTAGAATATTTTGATAAGGAACCGTCAGTTGTAAAATGGTATTATATGATCTTATAATGAACAGTCGTTCAATACCTGCTGGTATGTCATTTATAAATGGTTTTTAGGTTTTTCTTTAACAATCCGAATGTAGACCTCAATGAAATGTTCTGGAATATTAACAAAATGAATAGTCAACCATATTAACCATTTATATGAATGGCTGAACGATAAATGGCGCAATGTGCATATCTTCTTATTTAACAGCACATTTTAAGCAAAAAGAAAAGAAACTATACGTCTGAAACATTCTGTCATAGCCTCCCCATCAGTACATTCAGTGCTTTGATTAACTTTATTGTTATTGACTAATCTTTAATTATAGACTACAGTTAATGTATAATTATACTTATTACAATTCTAAAGTTACACGTGAAACGTGCTATGGTGCACTTTTTTAGCTCACCTGTCACAAAGTGACAGGGTGAGCTTTTGTGATCGCTTTTCGTCCGGCGTCCGTCCGTCCGTCGTCCGTAAACTTTTACTTTAAATGACATCTCCTCATAAACCACTAAGCCAATTTCATTCAAACTTCACATGAATGTTCCTTTGGTGGTCACCTTTGAAAATTGTTCAAAGAATTTAATTCCATGCAGAATTCTGGTTGCCATGGCAACCAAAAAAGAAAAAATTTAAATATCTTCTTCTAAAAAATCCAAAGAGCTAGAGCTTAGATATTTGGCATGAAACATCTTCTAGTAAGTGTCTACCAAGTTTGTTGAAATAAAAGCCCTGGGGTCAAAATTGGCCCCGCCCCAGGGGGTCATTGATTTTCCCTATATGCATATAGTAAAACCTAAAAAAATATTCTTTAAAAGAACCAAAAGACCTATAGCTAAGATATTTAGCATGAAACATCCTCTAATGGGTGTCTACCAAGTTTGTTCAAATAAAAGCCCTAGGGTCAAAATTGGCCCGCCCCAGGGGGTCATTGATTTTTTCCTATATGCATATAGTAAAAACTTAAAAATTCTTCTTTTAAAGAACCCAAAGACCTAGAGCTAAGATATTTAGCATGAAACATCCTCTAATGGGTGTCTACCAAGTTTGTTCAAATAAAAGCCCAGGGGTCAAAATTGGCCCCGCCCCAGGGGGTCATTGATTTTCCCTATATGCATATAGTAAAAACTTTAAAAAAAATTCTTGTAAAGAACCCAAAAAGACCTAGAGCTAAGATATTTAGCATGAAACATCTTCTAATGGGTGTCTACCAAGTTTGTTCAAATAAAAGCCCTGGGGTCAAAATTGGCCCCGCCCCAGGGGGTCATTGATTTTCCCTATATGCATATAGTAAAACCTAAAAAAAATCTTCTTTAAAAGAACCCAAAGACCTAGAGCTAAGATATTTAGCATGAAACATACTCTAATGGGTGTCTACCAAGTTTGTTCAAATAAAAGCCCTGGGGTCAAAATTGGCCCCGCCCCAGGGGGTCATTGATTTTCCCTATATGCATATAGTAAAAACTTAAAAAATCCTCTTAGACCTAGAGCTAAGATATTAAGCATGAAACATCCTCTAATGGGTGTCTACCAAGTTTGTTCAAATAAAAGCCCAGGGGTCAAAATTGGCCCCGCCCCAGGGGGTCATTGATTTTCCCTATATGCATATAGTAAAACTTTTAAAAAATTCTTGTAAAGAACCCAAAGACCTAGAGCTAAGATATTTAGCATGAAACATCCTCTAATGGGTGTCTACCAAGTTTGTTCAAATAAAAGCCATGGGGTCAAAATTGGCCCCGCCCCAGGGGGTCATTGATTTTCCCTATATGCATATAGTAAAAACTTCAAAAAAATCTTCTTTTAAAGAACCCAAAGAAATAGAGCTAAGATATTTAGCATGAAACATGTTCTAATGGATGTCTACCAAGTTTGTTCAAATAAGAGCCCTGGGGTCAAAAATGGCCCTGCCCCTGGGGTCATTGATTTTTCTTATATGTGCATAGCAAAAACTTAAAAAATCTTCTTTGAAAAAAACAAATAGCTAGAGTTTAGATACTAAGCTTGAAACATCTTCCAATGAGTGTCTACCAAGTTTGTTGTAATAAAAGCCCTGGGATCAAAATTAGCCCCGCTCCGGGGGTCATTCATTTTCCTTAAATGTGTATAACAAAAACTTAAAAAATCTTCTTTGAAAAAACTCAAATAGCTAGAGTTTAGATATTAAGCACGAAGCATCTTCTAGTGAGTGTCTACAAAGTTTGTTAAAAAAAAAGCCCTGGGGTCAAAATTGGCCCCGCCCCGGTGACATTGATTTTCCTTATATGTGTATAGCAAAAACTTAAAAATCTTCTTTGAAAAAACCCGAATAGCTAGAGTTTAGATATTAAGCATGAAACGTTTTCAAGTAAGTGTCTACAAAGATTGTTCAAATAAAAGCCCTTGGGTCAAAACTGGCCCTGCCACAGGTGTGTCATTGTTTTTAACCATATGTGTAAAGAAAAAACTTGACCAGCTAGACCTTAGATGTTTAGCATAAAACATCTTCTAATGGGTGTCTACCAAGTTTGTTCAAATAAAAGCCCTGGGGTTTAACTGGCCCCGCTCCGGGGGCCTATATACAGGTGAGCGACTTCAGGGCCATCATGGCCCTCTTGTTTGTTTCTTTTGGCTATTTACAAATGACATTCACAATGTCATTTAGTAAATGAGGCAAATAATCATTTTTCTCGCTTGAAATAATATGCTAACTTTATGTCGGTACTTACAAACCTGATACAATTGATATCTGTAAACAGCAGATTGTGTAATCAAAATATATCAATATTTCAGGTCATGTATAAATGTTGATTATCTACCCGACGTTGCCAAGGGTATAAACAACAGTGCTGAGTATGAAAAAACTAAATCATCACTAGAGAATGTTCTCATTGAATTAAGAGGTGTGATAGAAGCTAAAACAGATAATCTCAAAATACTTCAGAATGATAAGGAGCAGTTATTTGAAGAGATAGAAAATTTGAAAGCGGAAATTCTAATGAAGGTTGAAGAGCTTGTAGAAACCTCAAAACAACAAGTATCATTGAAGTATCGAGAAGTAAAGAAACATATCCAGTCAGATCTAGACACTTTAAATACTATTTTAACAACGACAACAACAGATTTCCGGAAACTGTCAGAAAAAAATGAGTCCCAGTTGTTTGTAAATCTCAAAGCAAGTAAAGTTTCTATCAGGGATTGTGAAACTTTTTTGAGTGAATTATCAACAGGTAACGTAAATGAGAAGTTGGAATTGGTAGCGAATAACAGTTTGAAAGATCAACTAAATGACATTGAGAGTTTGGTTGTTGACACTGATGTGAAGGAATACAAGGCAA